TTATGCATAAATTGTCAAGTAAAAACACAGTGATCATGCCTTGCTATATTATATTCTTATAGTCATAGATTAACAGATCTGCATGTTTATAGATAAAGAAAACATTATACCATAATATATTATCAGCAATAATCTAATCTCTGCTAGATTTTCCAATAGTTACTGATACACCTGACCTCTTGTTTTTCTCACTTAAACATATATCTTACTAACACATAAACATTAATCTTGAATAATTGCATATTTACTATTCAAAGTATCTCAAAGATCAAAATTTTTAAAAATCTACAGTTTGTACACAACTGTGGTAATCAGATTTGCTGTGAAAAGACTGCCAGAATCTCTCCCACCTCCCCCAAGTGACGTTAAGGCCCCCACTGTTCGACTAAATTCACAGCACTGGCACACGTCTTAACACAATTAGTTATATATATTTAGCTTTCAACACTCACTACACACATTTCTGCCCTGAAGCTTCCTTTTTCTCCCCTTGGTGTTTAAATATTAGTTTCTTCATTGTATCATTTCCCTCAACAATTATCTTTGGTGTGAACTGTGTTCATGGTTTCTTCCTCTGCTAAGGAGTAAAGTAAATCTGCCCTTGTAATTACAGTTTCTGGCCTAATATAAAAATATATTAGAAGCCAGAATTTCCTTGATTTCACCTCCAAACCTGCTCTGTGGTATTTTAAAATAATTTTAGATATTTCCATCTGGGTACCATTTAATCTCCAAAGTTCAATATTCAGTAAATCGAATTTGTCATCTTTTCTCCCAACTGCCCTTTCTTTCTGTCAAATCTATTTCATAACTTCTGACAAATTTTTCCAACTCAATCACTGTTTCTTTCACCTTAGATTCTTTCACTTATCAACACTATTGATGAAATTTTTTATCATTTCTTACAATTATTCTTTTTTTTCTGCTTTACAATTAAATTGAAAGTATCCGTGTTTCTGTTCCTGTTTTATTGATATAGTTATTAACTTAGTGATTTCAAAATTTAAAGAATGGTAAACAGTAGTAAATAATGGGAAGACTACACGTCTATATTAGAGGGTACCTATCTTTGAGCTTCTATTGCTGTGATAAAAACAGTTACCAAAGCAACTTGGGGGAGGAAGAGGTTTCTTTAATCATGAACTGTCATACAATAGCCCAGCACTGAAAGAAGCGGGGGTAAGAGCTCACGGCAGGAACCTCCACGGAGTGGTGCTATTCGCTGGCTTGCTCAGCCTGCCTTCTTATACTATCCAGGGTTACCCATCCAAGACTACACTGACGGCTGGGCCACTCAGATCACTCATCCATTAAGAACATTTATCACAGGGTAGGCCCCACATAAACCTGTGGGGGTTGTCTTCTTGGGTAAGAGTTCCTCTTCTAAAATGACTCTACTTTTTGTCAAGCTGACAATGTGAAAGCTAGCCAGTACTCTACCATGTTAGTTTTTCAAAGGATGTTGAAAAACGAACTGAAGGATTCTCCTTCTCTCAAGTTGTCATGAGTATGTGTAGGCAGAGATCTATGCGTCACATGTTTTGGTTTCTCAAAGTGTCAGGAGCTGGAGAACCAAAGCAAGTTGGTCTGACCGGTGATGCTTCTGTTACCAGGCTTGTCTAGAGGAATTTGTAAAGGTTCACCAAGAAGCTACATTATTAAAGAAGCTGGCAATAGCATGATTTTTGGCTGCTGTGTTTAGCCTTCCTAGGAGCCTTTCTCCCTCTCCCATGCGTACTAACTCATACTTTAGCATTCCCTTCTTTAGTTCTTATTATCCTGAGGCAACATTCAAAGCTCAAGGCTTTTTACTTTTCACAGAGTTCCATTGTCTTACATTTGCTAACTTTTTATACAGCAAGAAGTTAATCAGATTTGTGCATTCATTCACTAATTCATTAATTCTCTCTTAATTAATTAATTCTCTTTTAAATAAGTGTCTAATGAGCACCTTTTATTACTAGGATTATTTTAGTCACTAAAAATAAAAACTAAAACAATAGCCCTTGAAAAGATACAGATAGCTACTTTGATATCTTCTCCTTTGACCCTTCCATTACGTCAGGTTCATTGAAGAGCATCATATCAGAATTAAGAGCACGATCAGAAGAAAGATTGTCTGTGTTCAGATCTTAGCTGTAACACTCTCAGTAAACAGAAAGTACAGATATATTAACTCTTTGTATGTAGTTGTATCTGCTATAAAAATGAGAGTATTTAACTACTTGGGAAAGTCTGAGGTGCACATTAGAAAATGCCTCAAGCTTTTAAAAATAATCTTTATACATACATATATATATATATATATATATATATATATATATATATATATATATA